CATTATAGGCTGAAGCAAAGCAAAGCACTGACAGGAAGAGTGTTATCTGATCGCTGAAAGACAAGGTTATCCTAGTTGTGGATCGTTATTTAGGGAATGTAGAAAACTTTGAACCTATCAACATCTTCACCCGGTTGTTTTGTTTGGTTTTTGTTTTCTATATGGCTGTTATTGCATTAATGATCCATGTTGTGTTAGCTTACTCCTTTTTTTCTTTCCTAAAAATCAGAGCCGTGCTTTGCAGCTAAATATGCAGTGGCTGTTAACTGAGTCAGTTTAGATAAATCTGTTGTTAATACCTGCATTACAACATGCTTGCAATATCACCACTCCTTGTAACACCAAGATAGTGTTTTCCCATTTATTTTAAAAGTTATCTTGCTTTTAAAGAAGGGGTAAAGTTATGTTTTTTCTGTTTTGTTCACAGGTAGAATATATATAACAATTACTAAAAGCTTTTAGGATATGGGAAAGTTTAAAGTAGGGTTTAAAGCAAAAAGTGTGATTTGTCCTTTTTCTCTATCATGAGAGTCTCAAAATGTGGGGAAGTCAAATAGAGAAAGCCCAACATTTCACAAATGTAGCAGAAGACCATCCATAGATCTGAGTAGGGGCGCTGCATGCTGTACCATGATACAACTGTCGGTACTTGTACCTACAAGTTTGGAGAATAGAAACAGGCAGAACCAGCACCTCTAGATTGCACATGAAAAAATCACTAGGTGGACTCACCATAATTACACAGATTTGTTATTGTCAGTGAGTCCGAGGCAGAAAACTGACAGCAGTGTACATCACATCTCCTCAGGGCAGAACAGCCAGCTGCTGCCGCTGCACCGGCTTTCATCACCTGTTGGCACTCTGCTGTGGTTTACTTTTTAAGTCTTTGACAATTGTGCAATTATTCTTTTATAATTTATAAGATAAAATTGTGACTGACTTAAACTTTTAAAACAGATGTATAGGATATCCATTAGACTTTTAAATCTAGTCTTTTATAAAGCTAACATCAGCTGAAACTATTGGCTTTATGATGTATCTCAGCTGATCCGTGGAAATAAACTTGTTTGTCCAAAACTTTTTATTTTTTTAAATGTTTCCCAACTAAATATTACAGTAAAGCATTATACCAAAACCAGATTTGGTATTGCAGCTTGTTTATAATACCTCCAGGAAGGGAGCTGTCCACCTTGGAAGCAAAATGTAAATAATAAAAAAAAGTACAAATTCAGTAAAGTTTTCCTCCCTCTTCTCTTCGTGTTTCTGTGGCTTTTAGCATCTTGGACAGTTTCATTTGCACCGGCTGCTACCACCATGAGACTATTGAGCAACATAACTTTATATTTCACCTGTAAAATGACCTTATTACACCTGATGGACTGTATCAGCAAACAGACATTGCAAATCTTTTTTAATGGCAAAAGTGCTTTGCTGTAATGATATTCTGCATACTGAAATAATGCATTTTACCTGAACAATAGCATGCTATTCGCTAAAATTGTTATAGTTATATCCAAAGTTAACTTGAGCAGTAATTGGTAGATAAGAGGCTCAAAAATCTGGCTTGTTTCATACTCCTTTTGGTCAAATGCTTTGAATATAAGTTATTTTGTTTATTTCTAGACACCTGAGCCATAAAAGGTCAATTTATACATTGGTGCTAATTATTCAGTGTAATTAAAACCAAATTAGGTTTGAAGACATTTGTTTGCAAAAGTTTTCTTCTTTTTGATGGAGTCAGAATTATTACATTTGTCAAATAACATACAGCACATTTTCTTTCACTCATGTGTTAAAAAATCCTTATTAGTAAAAAAAAAAAAAAGAATCAATTAAAATCGGAAACAAAAGAGAAAACGCTTCTGATTTTCTGTTGCTTTTTATTGTTGTTTCAAATTTTTTACTCTGGCAATTTAAAAAAATTTCTAACGATTTTTTTTATGGTGAGACAGATTTCTGTTTGATAAAAATTGTCCAGGAAATATTTCCAATAGTTATTGCATAAGCTCTTTTTTAAGTGACCTTACAGAAAGTAATCAAAGCAGAATTTACCAATAGTTGCCTTAAAGTTGCAAATAACCGAAATGGATAAACTACAAATTTTTTTTTTTCGAGGGCCAGATTTACTACGTTTTACCAAAGTAGCGTTTCTTGTTAGGAAAGCTCTTTATTACCTAATCAAGGAATCTTTGTCAGCAAACTCACCCCGAAATAATGAACGTAAAAACTTTTTGCTGCAATGCATTTTGGTCAAGCCATTAAAGATTAGGTTCCATTTTTCCATTCCAGTTAGTCCTAAAACTATTTTTACTAAGTTACTTTTTTTGCAAAAGAGGAATAACTTTAAAGTTGCTGTCTCATCCGTACCCAATATTCCAGCCCAGTGCACACGAGGCATCTTTGATCCTTCATGTATATAAATAGAACCACTTTAATCCTTCATAGCATTCACAGCAGACTAGTTCAGCTCTTTGACCACCAATCAACACTTTTCCAACCCTCACTTCACCTTTCCCTGCTTTCTCTATGGTCTAATCACAAGCTTACGGCCTCTATAGCCATAAGCTCTCAGCTGCGCTTCAGTGTACGTCTGTGTGCATTTTGACAGGGCTGCAATGGAAGGGGAATAAGGTTAGCTGTTCCTGACCGGCTCTAATGAGAGGCTTAAATCTGGTGTTCATTCAATCCACCACTGCTGTGATGAAAGATGAGTGGCTTTTCTTTTCGTGTGGGAGGACTCTAATAGCCTACCTATCTCTCTCCACCACTCCAAGATCAGTTCATCCAGAACCCTGTAATGATGTTAGCACAACCAGTTTTTGATCAATTAAGACTGCTCATGAAGGAGAATCTGTTGACAAAAAGAATCGGTTAAATAGACCAAATTAATGATGAAAATGAAGTGAAATGAAAGGAGACATGGGATATTTCTAAATATTTCCTATTTAACGGGCTGAACAGTGGAAGATGCATTTACATTCACCCTCTTTATATCTGATGTGTTGCAACAGTATTATGTTGTTTTTGCATCTATCATTTTTCTTTTCATTTGTATAAACAACAAATCATTTTTTTTTTAGATTTGTTTCATGCTATATTTTAGCCTCAAAAATCGCTGTAAATGCTGAATTCACTCGTACCTAGTCGCAGGGAAAGCAGTCTCACACTTCCTGCTCCCCAAACACTTCCTCCAGCTCCATTCAAGGAAGCCTCCACAATCCTTTCGTGTTTCCTGGTATGTCCCCTGGGACTCCTTCTGGTGGGATGTGCTTGGTCCAATCTCCTGAGGGAGGCGTCCATTTGAAAAAGATACCCAACCACCTCTTCTGCCTCCTCTCAAAGCAGAAGAGCAGCGGCTCTACTCCGAGCCTCTCAGATAAGCAACCTCTTCAGTGTATTTCAAATACGGAAGCTCAGTTTAGCCTTGGAGAGAGTGAGAAGGTAGACCCAACAGTAAAGAGAGAACTTAACCTTTTGGCTCAGCTCTCTGTTCCCCAAGCCGACCTGCAATCCGTCCACATCACATTGGCAGCAGCATGGATCCGTCTTTCAATCTCTGCATACCTTCTTCTCTCCATACGTTCATTTAAAATTTGGATTTATATGAAAGTCATAGACAACAATGGCGAAACAGCTTAAAATGTGCGTTTGGCTGACAAAACTATCTGATGTTTAGGGAAAAGGTTGGAGACGCATTAATTAGAACATTATGAAATTGGGAAAAAATCCTCATCTTTTTTTTTTCATTTTGCTCTCTTATTTGATCTGTAATGGCAGGAGCAGATCAACAGTCATATTACAGAAGCGTACAGATTTCAAAGTATCAAAGAAAGCCAAAAAGAAACCTCCAAAATGCTCTGCATGATCAAAGGAGGTGCCATCACTGTCCATGGCGAAAATATGCAAGAGTGAATCCAACCCAGAAGAGGGACATGAAAGATTGTTCTGTCTCAGACTTGTCTCTTTCAGTGGCATGCAGCACTGGCTGCCTGGTGGGTTTTCCACAGAGCTTCCATGACAGAGAGCGATGGACTGTCCCTTCCTCTCTTATCGGAGCTGCTGCAGTCCCACAGTGTCTGGCTGCTGGCCTGCAGAGACCTTCTCTCATTTTCTATCATGCACATACACTTGCTGCGGTATGTTATAGTCCTCTGAAGCTCTCTATATAAATTGTTTCTGTAAAACTTCCTCTCATTTGATCTACTATGGAAAAAAATCAGCCTTGCTGTATTTTATTTAACTTTCTTGTGCATTTTTTTTAGGAATCATACTCTCCATTTACATTTACAGAAATCTCTCAGATGATGTTTTCCAGATTGCACATGCACTCAGTCACATTTCCAGAATTCCTGAATTTGTCATTTCAGCTTTTTTCCTCTACCAGTTGAATGTTTTGGTTGAGTGCCTTTTTTCATTTTTCTTCCTTTTTATAAAAAGCATACGTTCTCCTGGAACAGACCTTCCACCTCACGCTCCCAATATAAATCATTATGACACTGTTGCCGGTATGGGTTTCCTTTATTGGACGCTTTTTTTTCCCTTTGTTTCTGTGCTTTGGCTGTATGAGCTTGTCAGCCAGCACAGCCCGATGAGATCACTCTTCATCTCACAGTGTCGTCTCCTTAGTTTCCTGCTCCTGATTGCTTGCATGCACTTTCCCTTGATGGCTGGGAGGCACAACAAAGACGAGAGACAGAAGCAGAGGCAGAATGAAGCCTTCATATGCTTTTATTTGTTATTTATTTACCATCGTCAATAGATTCAGCCCTGAATCTGTTATTTATGCTTTTAAAAGACCTCTATTTGTATTTTAATTGTGGAACTGTGAGCATTAGTTGTGATTTGTTTTTGAAAATTTCTGCATAATTAAATTTGAACAGCCCTTCTTGAATAGTAGCAGATTTTTTCGCCTTTTCTTCCACTATTAGAAACTGCTGAGTCTTTTGTGTTACATGCATGTCTCTGAATGTTATAAATTCCTACTCTCTTCCGTCCCTCAGCGTTACTGCGAGAGGAGGTGGTACAGCTTCAGGAGGAGGTCCACCTGTTGAAGCAAATGAAGGACATGTTGAGCAAGGACGTAGAGGAGACCCAGGGCGGCTGCTCTGCCAATCTGCTCTCCGCCACTGAGCTCAGCGTCCAGCTGAGGGACAAGGAGCAGGAGCTGGACCGTGCTAAGGAGGCCTTACAAGGTCAGGAGCCTACATGGGCATCTTGTGTCACCTAGTTTTGTTGATTTGTTTGCAAACACAGCTGGGATTCGAACTAAATGGGAATTTTGGTTTCTAATGTTTTGTCATAATCCTTAGGTATCGGAATTTGAGACAAAATGCCATCTTTGTGCTTTTTTTACTCCAAATCATTTTATTCAGATCAGACCAGAACAGCAACATGTTTTCACTTCACTAAGCAACAAAAAGCATGCCTTATTAAGAATAAATGTAGATTATTTGCAAAAGTCACACATGTGACACTAACTCTATTCAGTTTGTTTTGGTTTATTTATACAATGTCAGTTCTCAACAAAAGTCAGCAATTATGTACTTAATTGGATCTTAACTGTCTTTATGCACTCATGTTTAAAGTGTAGCTGTTCTTAGAGGTGGGTGGTGTCCTTGATGGAGAGCCAAGCTCACTTTAGCTGAATTCTAATTTTATTGACATTATTAAATCAGAGAGCAGAGTGTTTTTTCCTCCTCCCTGTGAAATGAAAGATTTTGCTTTCTAGGAAAGAAAAATTACAATAAGATTAAATTAATTCAACTCAAAGTGGCTTACAGAGGCAGCGATTGTATGTGGTTTGCTGGTTTTCTCTACAGATCTCAGCGAGTTGCAGGTGCTGATCTGCATGCCTGGTAACCGTCACTTAACTGCTGCAGAACAGGTTTAAGGGTTCAGCTTGTAGAACATGGAAACAGTGATCATCAGCAGGAGGAATGCTCCCGGAGAGGCATGCGTGTTCTGTTATGAAAAATACTGGTTTCAGACTTGAATTATTGTGAAAAGAGCTCTTTGCTTTTTTGCTTGAAGAGTCCCACCTGTTGCACGATTGCTGCAAAGCCTCTTGGTCTCTGTGTGAAACCATCACTCAAAAAGACAATCAGATGTTATCACTCCTCTTAGGAATGAGTCTCCACATGCTACCTGAAGATGGTGTTTCAGATAAATCTATGTGTCCAACTGTGCCTCTTGTATTTTGTGTTGATTACCTGCTATTCAGATGGTTATTTTTCTCATTTAAAATAAAACAAATTGCAGCCAAAATTTTTATTACCAGTAGACACAGTGCCACCCAGTGGCTTTCTGCCTTAGTTGAAATTCTTTTTCGAAGTGAAGTGTTGCATGGACTGTGAAGTTGCTGTTCAAAGTGTAAAAGTATTGGGTTTTGTGCCATAGCCATGAAAGCGGACCGAAAGCGGCTAAAAGCTGAGAAATCGGAGCTGGCGAGTCAGATGCAGCAGCTGTATACAACACTGGAGAGCAGAGAAGACCAGCTGAGAGAATTCATCCGGAACTACGACCAGCACAGAAAGGTAGCAGCCCAGCTGAGGCATCCACATAAAAGCACTGCAGCATGTTTAAGATATTTCAAATTTTAAAAGCCCCTCAAAAGGTTTTTAGATCCCTTAAAGTTTTCCACAATGTGTCTCCATGGAAGCACAATCTCTTATTTATTATACTACGGTTGTATTTGATAGACCAACAGAAATGTAAATGTGTTTAACGACACGGCATGTGTTCTTATTCATTAACTTTGATATTTCAATAAAATCCAGTTATTAAGAAAACTAATGCTACACGTTACCCTGAACACATACCCAGTATGAAACATGGTGGTGGCTGCATCATGATGGGGAGATGTTTTTCTTTTTCAGAGACAGGGAAGCTTGCCAGATTTGATGGTAAGATAAATGGATAATAATGGATAAGTATAACAATTCTCAAAGAAAACTTCTGAATACTTAAGAATTGGGTTGAGTTTTGCCTTTCAACATAAAAACAAAGCTACAGTGGAAGAGTTTATATTGAAACATGTTCAGGTGTTATAAATATATAAAACCTTACGTTAAGTTCTCACATGGAATCTCAATAAAATAAATGAAAGTATGCATTTGTACCGTAACAATGTAAGAAGTTCAAGGCTTTATGTTCATTTTAAACCCTGTTTTTCAATCATTGGTATAATATTAACTGTATGTAATGTTTCTCTAATGTTTATTTTTGTTGTGATATCTGTATTCATTGCTACATAATTTTAAACCAACATTATAAAAACAGGGTATGATTACTGTTGCAAGAGTGGTATTTTACAGAGTGATACACACAGGGTAGAAATCAATGGATTATGAATCCATTTTTGCGTGACTCATTATTAACATGGCAATACAATCCAGCTGAATATATTTTCATACTTTTCCCAAATTTTATGTTTTACCTACTTTCCTACCAACATATTTTTTTCCATTGAGAGTTAAGCAGGGATTTCTAAAAGATAATTAGACGATCTAAATGAAGTATCATTTTAAAACAACAAAAAAATATTTGTCAATTAAATTTTTTTTTTTTAAGAAAACCGGAAGACTCTTTATTGACCTTTCTTAGTAGTAGTGAAAAGTAGTGACCCACTTTTCCTCTGGAGTTATATTTGGTGATGCGTTTTATGTTGGAAGGTATCAAATCAATATCTGTACTCTGCTTGTGTCACTACAACATATTAATATTACTTCCCCTCAGTCTCAACATGATAGTAGATTAAAATATTACTTAAATTCTGAATCCTAAAATAATTTTGGACTTAATTGATAAGATGCTAATTAAACAACACAACAACAAAGCTGTAATTCCTGGACGGCATGTTGTGTAGCTGTGCTTTTTAACTGTGTTTGGAACTCCTCTGATTAATGAAAGTGGTTTTGGTGTTAATCAGTGAGTGTTCTGTGTTTGCCCTCCACAGGAGAGTGAAGATGCAGTCAAAGTCCTGGCAAAGGAGAAAGATGTGCTGGAAAGGGAGAAGTGGGACCTGAGGAGGCAGACCAAAGAATCCACAGAGCAGGCCAACATCCTGCGCTCTCAGATAGACATGAAGGAGAACAGGATTAAGGAGCTGGAGGCCGAACTCACCATGGTGAGTCAACGTGATCGTGGACACTGCATGAACATTAGCAGGCACAGAGAGAACACACCATCAATTAGATATTCTGTCAGTATCTGTGAAGTGTTGAAACCATAGAGTGACTGGTTATGTACACTCCTCCGGGTAAAAGGAGAAATGTGTGTGTTTTTTATTCTGCAGTGTGTCAGCCCCTTCTTGGTACAGCTGTCACTCTGTGTGCCATTAATCTCTCCTCCCTGTCGCGAGTCACAGCCACCCACAGATCCTCACATCAAGCTGCAGAGCAGATCTGATTTGTTGCCACATCGCTGCCAAATCTGTAGCTAAATATCATTCTGTCGAGTCTTATTTTATTCTCCCCCTTTTCACTGGGTTCCACTGAGAGGTTTTGAAGATAAAAAATACTTGGAAAGATTATAATATCATGGAGAGGGGATTTTTTGTAAAGAGGTGTAATAAGGTACTGTAAAAACATTTGATGTCACGTATCATCGCTTTATGCGTCTTTAGGCTGCTTTTGATTTCATCTTCAGCTCAAAATGTGATCTGCTACAGATTAAATGCCACTTTCCAATTAACTATAAATCATTTATTTATCGAAGGGATGCTAAATACACAAGATGAGCTAGTTTACGCTTCATTTGATAAATAACTTTAAATAAGCGGTCTAAGATCAAAGTCAACAGCAAGGGGGTTTACAGAGTTCACAGAGAGCATCTTCCTCAATATTAAAGTCATACATATTTTAATTAGTAAAAAGAAGAAACATTACAAAGTGGATTTTTTTATTCATGCATTTTTATTTAATGTTTGGTTTCTTCCAAGTGAGTAAATACCCCAATGTTACAACAAATTTCATTATATTTCATTAAGATAGGAAGGGATGCACCAAGAAAAGGTATTCCAGATTATCCCTGAAAGGTCAGGGAGGAAGATCTTATGAATTTTGATGCAGGTTTAGGTTATAAATCAACATCCTAATCTTGGAACATCTTGGAGAGCAGAAAATAAAGCTGCACCCTCAGCCCTTCCTGTCCATGAAGAAACATGGCAGCAACAGCATCATGCTAAAGTCCACAGGAAGATGTCTGGAGATTAAACCCAGTAGGGAACCATCTTTCTCTCCCTACTATCTAGTTGCTGTCGACAGAGGCCACTGGCGCTACAAATGTTTGAAAAATAAGCATCATGATGTATTTATACTAGCAGTTTATCATAATTACCATAGCACCAGATTGAACCTCTGACAGTTTCTTTCATTTAGTGGCCACGGCAGTTACTAGTTGGTTTTATAGAGCAATTAAATTGTTTTTATTATTTTATTTTATTATGTACCATGAAAGCTTTGCCTAAATTGCATTTTAGTTTAAATATAAAAAAGTCTTAACTTTAATCAGTTTAATATAATTTATATTCTTTTAACCCAAAATTGAATTTTGAATCCTTAAAGGTATTGTGGAGGATTTTTACACATTTTTTAAAAGACCTGCCCTCTCCACGCGTGCAAGAGCTTGCACGAGCCCATTTCTCCTCGTGCACACTCTGTTTAAAAGTTGATGTTCTCATTGCTCATACAAGCTTACTGTGTCTGTCCACCCTAACCCCTAAATCCCTCAATCATTATATAGAGTGGGGACTATATAGTGGACTTTATAGCAAACTTGGTAAACTTACGGTTGGTCACGTAACCCCTCCTCCACTGCGCGGTGCCTACGCCATCTTTGTCATTGGTCGTCGCTGTCAGGTAGCGACAGCCTTTGGTGACAGCGGGCCGCTGTGACAGCAAATTCCATAATGCTTTGCGAGGAGAGCTTTCCGTGCAAAGCATACAGTAGCCTCTCTTTGGTTCTCATACACTTTGTAGACACTTTTTCCTCTTACGACCCTTGGCCATTTTCAGAGAACCATGGTAAGAGCACTGTCTGAAACCGTAGCTCACCACACATATACCCCTGAAAGTGTGCATGCGCAGAAAAAGAGCTAATGGGACGAGCACATAGGACGGCATTATGTAAACATACCACCAGAATGATTGACAATTCAGAGAACCACTTATTTAGATGATAAATAGGTAATAAAAGAATGTTGTTTACAGCTTTAATGTTCTTGGAGTTTTTCTAGGAGTTTGTACAGTAGGGTAATGAAACTATAACTAAGTACTTTGCGGTTGGTTTGGTGACTTAAAATCCTCCGTCTGAATGTAAACCAGACTGGTTTTCTTTGACTCAAACTCTATTTCAACACTTTTCTATGTGCTGCTCTTCCAGGCAAAGCAGTCTCTAGCCACTCTGACAAAAGACGTACCCAAACGGCACTCTTTGGTGGTGCAGCCGGAGCCAGTTGTAAATGGCAGTCAGGAGTGGGTGATGCAGGCCGACTTGCCGCTCACCGCCGCCATCCGTCAGAGCCAGCAGACCCTCTACCACGGTCACAATGCAGACCGGCAGGGTAAGCTCTCTGCACCTCTATTATCCTGCACTTTCTCCATGTTGCTTGGTGTTCCTTTAATCAGCGAACTAACACAGGGGTTTCTGGAGGTTTCTCTAACTATGGGGAATTTTCAATGTGTGTGTGTGTGAATGTGTGTGTGTGTCTAGCTGTGGTAAGGATCAGCCCCTGTCACACTCGCCAGCCCTCTGTGATCTCAGATGCCTCAGCAGCTGATGGGGACCGCTCGTCCACTCCCAGTGACATCAACTCACCTCGCCACCGGACCCACTCCCTCTGTAATGTAAGAGATGTCCAGCCCAAGTAACCGCCCTGCTCCACATGTCCGCTCAGTCCTTACCTTTCTTTGGTTTGTGTGTCCTGCTCTGTCCTGTCAGCTTAATGGGTTCGCCCTGCCTGCTCACTCAGTGGTGATTCAGTTGTTTTTAGATAAAATGTTTGAATTTAAAGTGTTTTATTCTACATTTGATTAAATTAACAATGAAAAAGAAATTAAGGTTTTATAGCTCGCAAGTAAAGGCCGCATAGGCAAAGTTTGTCAATCTTCAAATGTTTGTGCTTTTTGTACAGTTGCTAAATAGTAGTTTATTAAACGATTTTAAATAAATAAAAAAAAGTGGGATCAAATCCAACCTGGATCATACCTTGTTGAATCGTGGATTAAGTGAGAATTATCACATTACTCAAAAATTCAGACTTTAGGTTTACTAGTGGCACACAGACATGCAGAATCAAGAAACTGTCCCAGAAGTACAGGCCAAGCAAAATTTCCCCAGGAGTCACCCAAAGGCTCACGCAAAAAAGAACCCAGAACAGCATTTAAAGCTCTGCAGGCCTCTGCTGCCTCAGCTGATTTTAGCCTTAATGAATCAATACACAACGACTGGTGGGAAAAGACATCCATACTGGAGTTCCAGGGCAAAAAGAATCGCTGTTTAAAAAAAGCAAACAAATGCTAATTTTTTCATTTACGAAAACGTATTATTATCAACTTGAAATAAGATCTCTATAGTTTATGTCTGGTGAAATGCAAAAAAAACCATACAGCCAGATGCACACCAGAGTTGATGCTTCGGACTGTTTTCCTTATAAGTACAAACTTCGGTTGATGGCACCATCAATTCTGCTGTTTACCAGAAAACCCGAAAGGAGAATACCTGTCTATCAATGCAAGATCTGATGGATTATGTAGCTGTACAATAATGGTAAATGGCCTGTACTTATATAGCACTTTTTCAAGTCAGGGGACTTGA